AAAAACCCTGAATTTCCCATCTACCAAACTAACCTTAATCCAATTGCAAAGATCGATGATGATTAAGTAGAATTAATTAATTAATGCTGGCTAATCTCTCTATGAACTGATCAAATACTTCAACACGAGGCAAAATGCTTATCCGAACGTATTTCGCGCTTTCGCCAAAGTGCTTCCCGCTTCTTGTTAGTATCTTATGATCACGAAGAAATCCTTCACAATCCTCGGTTTCGCCCTCACACTTGAGCCAAGCAAAAGCTACAAGATGCAAGTAATTACAAACTATCCCCGATATTTATGTCCTAATTACCATACAACCCGCCGCAATGTTTGTTGATTACTTGGGAGAGGTGGGAACTTGTGATTTGGAAGGGCAATTAGGCCTTTATGTGATTAGAACAAGCTTTGGGGGTGTGGTTTTGCAATAATTTATCATTCCTAGCTTCATATTTTGCCGCTCAGGTTTAGCTTAGATACGATATAGATCGCGATAATATATGTTCAAGATTACAACTATTTCCTTGATATAAGTTTCTAAATTTGAAAATGTACCTTATCTAGAGGTCAATTTGCAAGGAATAAAACATCAATAGAATATTTGTAAAATTGTAATATACTATCTCCCAATCATAAAGCGATATCAAGAAATGTTGGGAAAAAAAAATAAAATAAAAAATAAAAAAATTACCTGGTTGTGATGAAAAAGTTCGACCGCTAAAGGCGCATTTATTTTGAGGGAAATCGGGTAGACTAAAGAGCTTGTTGTTTTTAACTGCCTCTCTAAGCTGTTTCCACCTCTTGGCCATGAGGTTATAGCTATAATAAAAAAAAGGTTCATTTTCTTTGAAATGATCTTTTTGCCCATGGCTATCGGCCAAGACCTGCAAAACCTTAGCCGCACGAAGCTGCGACTCTTTAGACACGCCAATCGTGCTTAGCACGATAAACTCGGTCATTTTCTTGGCGATTTCTTGGTCTTTTACGAGGGCCCAACTGTAATAATACATGTATCGAACTTCAAATGTTAAAAATGTAATGCAAGAATAGAAAGAAAAAAAAAAAGGACAAATCCAAAAAAAAATCTCATTTGAAAGGTTTTAGTTTTTAGATTCAATTCAAGAGTATAATAGCTAATTAGATGCTCGATTTTAATTTAACTTACCCTAGTCGAGTACCGGCATGGCCCGTGCTTTTCGAAACCGTAAAAAGCATTATGTCATGATCGGCTGGCGAAGAAGAGATTGAGGTGTACTGTGGCCAGTAATAAGCCAGGTCGTGAATTAGTAACCCTTTATCTCGATTCACCACAGCTTCTCTAGAGGACCCATCGGGATTATTCGGTGAAGTCACTAATTCAATGTACGGCTCGTTTTTGTCGAATTTATGAGCATCACCGGCCCATTTGTAAAGCCTGGACTTGAGAAAATCGGTTATCAATGGATACGACTGCAAAAAAGGAAAAAAAGAAAGAAAAAAAGAAATCGATTAACAAGCTTCATTACAAACGTATATGCATGTCACAAGAATTGAAAATAGATCGACTACCAAGACATAATGGCAAAATTGCATTTTTAGTGCTGTTAGTTTAGCGTCATAGCAATTTTAGTCGGTCCCAAAATATAAACTTTTCGCTTTTGGTCATTTCATTTACTATTTTGCTGCAGTTTTAGTCATTTGAGGACTCAAATTGCAACAAGATTTTAAATTACAGGGCTGAAATTGCAACAAAATTTTAAATTACAAAACTTAAATTGCTAATCGAAAATCTGGGAATATGGAAATTTGTTGTAATTTCAGACCTCAAAGTATTGCAGATATATATAAATTACAATACCAAAAAGCGAAATGTTGGAACCTTGAAACTAAAATTTGCTATGGCATTAAAACAGCACGACTAGAAATACAATTTTGCCACGAAAAGAGATTCTTAAGACAATGAACATTCAAAGAAACCTTTGAGTAACACATAAGTACAATAATGCAAGAAGCTTAACATATGGTATTGTTGCATAATAACCCCTAAGAAAAAGTAGACTTACCGAATAGAAAGGTGCAGCCGAAACTACACTTGTGGGCTCCGATGCATTTGGAGATACAAGAGCATAAAGCACGGCTTGAAAAAGCTGCGTTGATCCTGTCCCGACCACCATATACCGACCATCCGTAACGGCATTTCCCACCAATTTGTGAAGCCTAATAACCGCGTTTTCGAATTCCGGCTCCAAAAACCAGCAAAGTTTTCTCTTATCCGAGAAATAACTTATGAATTTCCATCCGGGGATAATAACAGTCGTTCGATCCCCCATCTCCTGCCAATATCGCTCATACATCGTTGGATCCCCACTACATTGAATAAATAAAATAATATAAAATTTAATAATTTAAATAAATATATCATACAAGAATGTCAACAAGTTCAACCTCTACTCATGGAAGAAATGATTCATTCATATGGTTCATAATTCGACTAAGTTACTTTCTTAAACTATGTGAATGTTACCCTTACGGAACAAAAAATCTGACCGAACGGTGGTTAATTTTTTTTATTAAGTTAAAAGACTCTGCATGACATAACATCGCCATACCTAAGAATGGTCCAGATTTTTTTTTTTAAAGGACAATGTGGTCCTCACTCCTCACTACTCCCCTTAGGTTTGGAATGTGGGTTGGAGATAGGTGTGGACGAGCCAAACCGATGGGCCCGAAGCCTCTTATCATATGAACAAATGATTGGATAAAGGACAAGTAAATATCAGGCCCACAATCATTCTTCACATGAATAGACAGAGACCTAAAAATAGCTCCAAGAATGTAACTACTACAAACTTGTGCTTAAACTCCCTTTTCTTTCCCCTCAAGTGGTGTGTGAAAATCGGTACTAGAGTGTGGGGTTTCACTAATCTTTTTCTAATTATGTTTTAGATTCTTTTCAACAGGACAAAAGGGATTTCCAATGTAGCAAGATCACATTTTAAAATAGCGATAAAAAGTAATTTACTTTGGGATAACGATGGGGCAAGGTATCAATTTTCGAACCATTCCGTCGAGGTTTGTAACCGTTAGATCATCATGTGCCCGTCGGGGATAGTTGATCTAACGGTTACAAACCCGACGGAATAGTTCCTTAACGGGACCGTAGTCGAAATTCAAAACACAGAGTAGAAGGGGAACTTCTTGCTCCACATGACATCCATATAATATTGGCTAACAAACAGTTTAATAACCAAAATAGAATATATCCCATGTGGATGATGGAAACAGGCAAGTATTACTATTTTCCTTTCAAAAATTTCAAAAACCGAAAAAATAAAAGAAAATGCCGACTTACATGAATTATCGACTACGTGATTCGAGAACGATCGCGCATGGAGAAATGCAATAGGAGTTAAACAAATCTCACTACAAAAATATTGTGTATTATAAAGTGCATACATATAAAACAAGAAAGAGTGACACTAAGTCAATAATGGTCAACGGGGGAATCAAGAAAGACCACCATCTATTGATCCCTTCATAATGTCTTAGAACTACACACAATTTGCTTGGAAAAACAACACAACCATGAAAATAAATAAAAAAAATAAAATAAAATAAAATTTGAAAGAATAAAAAAACTGTATCAGCTTTTGTGGTGTGTAACAAAACTCTTTAACATTATGCACCATCTTGGTGTATTTCAATGCCAATATGACTTGTCCCTGTCACTAAACTGACATAGCGTGAACCCCTAAGCGCACGTTAGGGAATCCCACCAGTATTTCTATTGCCAATGACACTATCTTACTGCAGTTTTTTTTTTTTAATTGAAAATACAAGTCAAGAACCAACCTCATAAAAACTTGACTTACAACTAATGACATTAAATAAACGAGAAATGATATGGTCCCGTTATGGGTACCATCCCGCGCATCTATCTTATGCTAACTACATGTGTATCCAATGGTTAAAACACTCGACGGAATGGTACCGTAACACCGACGGGGATAGTATCGTAACTTATCATTTCCCTAAATAAACAATCTTGAAGGAAGAAGTGAAAACCCATCATCACATTAACTAGATATTGAGTGTTTTCTGCAATGAATTGAACCCCATTAAAAAAAACTCACATTTCAGTACTGTTACTGTCATGCCCATCAAGACTCAACTACTGTTGATCTTTTCATTTTTTTTCCCTTGTGCAATAGTAAAGTTTGAATCTTTAATCAGCCATCATTACAAGATCAATTTGATTCTGAGACTCAGCAGTGCAAATTCAAGAAAACTCATTGAGTCATTGAAAAATAAAATAATTTGTTAAAAAAAGTCTACTGTAAATGGAGTGACTCATTGAGTCATTGGGCCCTTATTTCAAACAACAAGATGATGGTAAAGAAAATAAAAACCATGCACATAAAGTAAATTGAAAGGAAGTCAAATATTAACAATTTTAACCCAGAAAAGCTTCAACAGAGAACAAGAAAAATGAGAGGTAAGTTCAAAAAAAAAAATAAAAATAAAAATAAAACAAGGGCTCAGCACACTTACTGATCAAGGTCGATAACTTCACTAATAATCGCATTTGAAGGTAAAGGCGCTTTATTCGTTTCAAGAAAAGCGCTTTTCGTCACCAAAGACTCGTTTTTGCAGTCGCCATTGAAGGTGAAAACATCTTGGGATTTGCGTCTCCCATTGCAATAGTCTCTGTACAAAAGGCCAGCGTTCAAAGCTAAGGACACCACCAAAAAGTGACCCAACACCATTGTTCTGAGCTCCATGAATCTCAGGCAATCTCAGGCCAAAATTTTGTCCAAAATTTGTCTTTTTTTGGCAAATTCCCTGATGAGGAAAAAAGCAAAAACAAATATTTTAGCAGAGTACGAAGAACCCCAGAGATGATAAATAATGAAAAAAAATAATAATAATAAAAATTAATATGGGTAAAGGTACCAGCTTTCCATTGTATACCAAAAGATTAATGAAATAAAATTATGGGTTTTTAGAATATACTACAAGCTTTTATAGAAACCAAAAAAAAAAAAAAAAA